GGCTCTGCACCCCAATAGGTCCAACAACTCCTTCATGATGACGCTAAGGCTTTATCGTTGTCGCATGTTAGTTGTTTGGGTACTCCGTATCGCGCAACCCATCGCCGAACAAATGTCGCTGCCGCCCAATGGGCAGACTTGTCGGGGACCACCGCTGCTTCCACCCATCGTGACATCCGGTCGATCATTGTCATTATTGGTCTGCCTTCTCCTCTGGTTGGCATTGGATGGAAACAACGTGGCTGCGTTTATTTACTTGGCGTTTAAAGCCTTTATGCCAGACAGATTCTAGTAAATAAGTCCCTTGTTGCGGATGTAGAACTTTGGTAATTCGCATCTGTTCAGACCAAGCAAGCATGAGTTTGTCGGTGCCGTAGTATTTTACTAACTTCTCGCTGTCCTTCTTAGTTAATTGATATATTTCACCATCACCGAGCTCGAACTTCCTGTCATCCTTCTTCGTGGATGTTAGTGCTTGTCGGCTGATGGCTTGTTCAAACGCTTCGAAACGTAACTGAGTAACGAGACTATATCGATGTGCTGCTCGTAAGTCCAGAGTTTCCCAGCTCGTCCATGATTGAAAATGTGAGAGTACCATGTCATTCCCCGCAGGTAGTCTGCAAGGTGATTCGCCCGTATAAATGTGCGGAGTGGATTGATGCGCGTAAAGTACCGAGGCAAGTACTTTTTCAAAGGACCAGTTATTCACACTTGTCCTGGACAATGCACCTTTGAGGAAGTGATGGAATGACGCCACCATCGAATTACCTTGAGGGTATTGCGGTGTCGCGTTGCTGGTTCGGATACCCAATGACTCGACTTTGTCACAGAAGTCTCTTCCAGCATACATGGCTCCACTGTCAGTAAGCATTCTCATCGGTACACCTAGGCTACAGATCCACATGGAGTAAACCAAGTTCCATGTTGTCAAGAGTGTACCATCTTCAAGTATACCAACGTTGTCGTGATTAAATTGTAAGACTTCTCCCTATACATGAATGGTCCGATGGCATCAACAGATACCAGTATGTTGAAGTCCGTGGATAGTAACACACCTTTACCAACCAGATTGACCATATTCATACGTCGTTGACAAGTAAGACAACCAGCGGTAAAGTCGACGCAATCTCTAGCTAACAAGGGCCAGTAGAAGTGTTTCTTGATTCTAACAATCATCTTCTGTGCCCCTACTCTACTGGAGTGGTAATATAATAATATACGAGCCCTTAGCCTTTCAGGTACGTACATTAAGCCCGACTTTGCCTGAACTAGTAGCTTCTCCTGTATGATGCATCCGTCAGGAACAGGGGTAACCTTTTTTGCTGCATCAATAAAGTCTTCGGTAGTCGGAAAATTGTTGTCCACAACGAGGTTTGGAATGACACTGGAATCGATGCTTCATCACCAACTAGCCTTTCAAGTTGTCTTGCAGCTCGATCTCCCACAGGTTTT